TTTATATTTTCTTTATTCTAGATTTTTCCACTACAAATTTGTTTCAAAAATAATTATGCTTTAGCTTTATATTTTCTTTATTCTAGATTTTTCCACTACAAATTTGTTTCAAAAATAATTATGCTTTAGCTATCTTTCGAATATCAAAAAGTTTTTGGCATTGTTAAAATTTTTAGAATTTGCATATAATGCCTAATTAAGTAAGCTATTTTCTTTAAATTATCATTATTGATATAATCATTTTTCATATTATTCTTTACCCTCATTAGTAATCTAATTATTCTTTTGGAAATTAATAGATGTGGTAAAAGTGTTATCAGAGCTTTTCTCTAATTTGATATTCTTGTTTTCATTGAAATTTTTGCTCGAAAATGATTCATTTCCAATTCTTTGAAATATTCAATGAACAATTCTATCATTGTGATACATAAGAGGAAATAACGACATACTATGATGACATTTGTCAACATGGCTATGGTGACACTGTCGTGGTAAAATGATTGGGAAAAAAGATGTGAAATGATGTAATTAGATTAAAATGAAGATTGTTGAAATTAAACGATTATTAAAATGTGTTCAAACTTGACTTATTCACTCATTCTACTAACTTTTCCAAAAGTAGATATTAAAATATACCAACATTAACCACACTACAACATCATATGTCTATATATATGCGTGTGTGTGTGTGTCTGTCTGAGTGTGTGTGTGTGTATCCGTATGTGTCTGCACAGTGTGTGTAATGCGCATATGTAAGAATATGTTTATAATAAACTATTATTACGCATAATAATGTTTGCTTGAATATGTTTTCCGAAAATATTATCCTTCTGTCATCTGTCCTTTGTCCTCCTATCCGGTTCCGTTCCGTTTACCTCCTCCCCGACAACACATCTTTTGTACATTTGAATTGTTGTAAATTGCTGCTACTTCACCTTCATCAAAGTTTTGTACGTTGAAGTCATATTAGTGACTAGTTAATATTATTCAAACCATAACGTTAACACAATGAAGTTGTTAAGAGTAAGGTATAAAAGGTAAAGTATAGAAGGTAAAGTATAGAAGAGAAAATATAGAAGGTAAAGTAAAGCATAGAAGGTAAAGTATAGAAGGTAAAATATGGAAGGTAAAGTAAAGCATAGAAGATAAAGTAAAGAAGGTAAAGTAAAGTATAGAAGATAAAGTAAAGAAGGTAAAGTATAGAAGATAAAGTAAAGTATAGAAGTAAAGAAGGTAAAGTATAGAAGGTATTTTAGGACGAAAAAGAATTCTAAAAAAGAAAACAAATTCAATTCATCCATTTGTTTGTTTGTTTTTTTTTCCTTTTACTTTTATATTACTTGTTTTTTTAAGATTTTAGGTTTGTATTGGATATATTTCATTATCAAAGCTAATTATATAAACGGACAGACAAAAAGACATACACACACGCAGACACACACACAGGCACACACACACACACACAGACACATACACACACACAT